AATCTATCCAGCCTTGGATACAGCTCCATGGTAGAGTACTTACCTAAAATAACTATCATGGACTCAGTGTTAAAGAATAGTCTTAGTATGTTCAAGACCTTGAATCCTAAAGAATAAATTAAAGTAAAATATCTGTATAGTATTAAAATCACCATGTTACTTATCAATAAAATTTGAGATTAAATCTTAATGATCTATGTCACCCAACAGTAAAGTATTTTTGAGATTTCCTGATATGCCTGAAAGGGTTTAGTCTGTATAATTTTCATGCTTATTTGATTTTAGAAATATCTGTGTATTCTAACATCTATAATTAGAAATTTTGTTATTCTTTTCTATAAATATACAGGTGAATCCGTACCAGAATACCAGATGGCTTTTCAGACAGAAGTTGGAAACCATCCCACTTTTGAGGATATGCAGGTTCTTGTGTCTAGGGAAAAACAGAGACCCAAGTTTCCAGAAGCCTGGAAAGAAAATAGCCTGGTAAGAAACGAGGACTTCTGATTAGATCTGTTTTAATGTTCATGAGCACAAATAGAAGCCACCTAGGTGTCATGATTCATGCCTATATTCTACCACTTGGGAGGCTGAGGTAAGTTTGAGGCCAGCCTAGGCTACAGTGTAAAACCCTGCCTCCAAAATATCCAAAACTAATAAATAAATAAGTAGGTAGGTAGGTTAGTGGGTGGATAAATAATATTAATAGTTTTAAAGTTACATGATGCCAGAGATCCAACTTTTTTATTATATAATATACTTTCAAGTTTTTGATATAAAAAAGTCCCTCATTTTGGTTCAGATCCAATTTTCTACAAATATAAAATACTCTTTAGAGAGACCAACATTGTATCTGAAATCCACCAGTTCAGGAAACACCTAGATTAATTACCATGTTAATATTTTAAACATTATTGAAGTTCTATCCTATTCGCTTAAGAATAATGCCAAAAATGTTAATTGTTATAGACTTATGTATTTGAGGGCTAATAAAAATTTAGATTAGACCTTAAAAGAAACTAAAAGGAGCTGGGCATGATGGTGCACGCCTTTAATCCCAGCACTCAGGAGGCAGAGGCAGATGGATCTCTGTGACTTCAAGGCCAGCCTGGTGCACATAGTGAGTTCCAGGACAACTGGGGCTACAGGGAGATCCTGTCTCAAAAAGACCGAAAAAAAAAAAGAAAAAGAAAAGAAACTAAGAGTAATGTATGAATTCTGCCTATCAAAAAGTCAGTTCATGGGACTGGAGAAATAGCCCAGCAATTAAGAGCGCTGGTTGCTTTTGTAGAGGGTTCGGTTCCCAGCACCAGCATGGCAGCCAAAAAAAAAAAAAAAAAAACTTTCCATAACTTCAGTTCCAGGGATCTCATGTCCTCTTCTGGCCTCTGTGGGTATTGCATACGTGGGTGCACTTAACATACATTCACACAAAACACTCATACACATATATATATTTTTTTTTTAATTTTGAAGGTAGTTCATGACAATAAAGCATCATCAAAGTCTCGTACTGTTTGAGTATGTTGTTGTTACCACACTGAAAACATAAACACTTCTCACACATTCATAAGATTGTTTCATATGAGTAGGATCATCTAATTACCCATTGTCATTTATTTTCTCAGTGGTAATTTTGACTACTAATATCTATAGATATTTCTCATTCTCTTCATTTGGTCCATATATTATGTAATTATTATACCCTTCATTTATGAGAATCCTCTATTTTTCTTTAAAAGAATTTATACTTTTCATGGAAAAATTTAATAGATCATAGAAAAGGAGATTAAAAGGGAAGAAACTATTTTCTATGACTACTGTTCTTCAATGACTCCCTTTAGCAACTCTTTGAAGTATCTCTCGTCTAGTGATTCACATTTTAATTCCAAATACTCTGTCCTTATTTCTTAATTTACCTCTCATTTATCCTTTCTTAGTTTTGTAATATTCCATCTATTATTAGATGACTTGGGGCTGGAGAGATGGCTCAGCAGTTAAGAGCATTGGCTGCTCTTGCAGAGGATCTGGGTTCAGGTCCCAGCACCCACGTGGTAGCTAACAACTGTCCATAACTCCATTTCCAGGGGATCAGATGCCCTTTTCTGACCTCCATGGGCATTGCACAACACAGATGCACTTATATACATGCAGGCAAAACACTCATACATTTAAACAGTAATAAATAAAATATTAAAAAATAAAATAAATGGTAAAATATTTAGAAACAAATATAGATGACTTATGTTTGTCTCTAGGTTGATCTAAAAAGTAAAACAAAATAAAAACATCAGAATTGTATTTAAGCATTTTCTGTACAACAAAGCATTGAACTTGGACTTATAGGAATAAAACATACTGTATTTATTGCTTTAAGCCCTTGCCATTTGGGAAATACTGTTTAAACAATCACCATCCAGTGAATTCTCTAATTTCTTGTCATCTTTTTCATTCTTCTCTCTAGGCTCTTCCCAGAAACAACACTTTAAAAAATCTAATGTTATTCTTTGTCTTGTAAATAATTTTTTCCTTGATGAAATTCCTCTTCAGTAACATATATTACTATGTCTATTAGGTGTTAAACATATGAAACCTTACATGTTTAAAAATTTTTTCCATCTTGGTATTACCCATGAGTAATAAATTGGTAGAATAATGGTTTAAAAATCACCTTTATAACTTTGAACTCACTATGTAGACCAGGCTGGCCTTGAACTCACACAGATCCTCCTGCCTCTGCCTCCCAAGTGCTGGGATTAAAGGAGTATGCCACCAGCTCCCAGTCTTGATAATGAAAATTTGAATATGAGCAGTCTTACTCCATACCACTTTTAAAAATTGTGTTTGTGTGCATGCAAAGGTGTGTGTTTGCTATGGTGCACGTGTGGGGGTCAGAAGACAGCTTTTGGCAGTCAATTTTCACCTTCCACCTTGTTGAAATAGGGTCTTTCTTGCTGTTTCTGCCTCACTGCATACTTAGGATAGCTACCCATGAACTTCTGGACATTTCTTATCTCTGCCTCCCATCTCACAATAGAAGTGCTGGGATTACAGGCATATGCCACCAAATTCAGCTTTTAACAAGATTCCAGGGATTGAACGCAAGTTGTCAGGATTATGTGACAAGAGCTTTTATCCACTAACAAGTCTTACTAGCCCTTCCTTGCTTTTCTTTTTTTTACTTTTTTTCTTTTTGAGACAGGGTTTCCTTGTAGCCCTCCTGTCCTGGAACTTGCTATGTAGATGAGTCTGGCCAGGATCTTACAGAGATCTGCCTGCCTCTGCCTCCTGAGTGCTGGGATTAAAGGTGTGCACCAGCCCCTTCCTTTTTATTTTATGTTTTTCTTATTTTTTTTCTGTAATTTTTAAAAAAGAATCTCATAAAGCCCAGGCTGTCCTCAAACTCCCTTAGTTGAGGATTACTCTGAACTCCTGACCCATCATCCTTCTGTCCACCTTTCAAATATTGGGATTGTTTGTATACACCACCACACCCAGCTTTTTTTTTTCTCTATAAACTTTTAAGACTTTTGCTTTGTCATTGCAGTTTTGAGATTTCACCTGGGTATATATGTCAGCATGTATCTTTTCACACATTTTCTTGGCACTGGATAGATTTTTCTCAATTTGAAAATTCAGAACTTTCTTTCATAAAGAGTTCTCTAATGTTCATTTAAAAATTACTTCTGCTGGGCGTGGTGGTGCACGCCTTTAATCCCAACATTCAGGAGGCAGAAGTAGGTGGATCTCTGTGAGTTTGAGGCCAGGTCTCCATAGTGAATCTAGGACAGCTGGGGCTACAGGGAGACCCTGTCTCAAAAAGACCAAAAAAAAAAAAAAAATTACTTCTTTGCTTCCATTTCTTTCTCCTGGAATTCTCATTAAACTAATATTGAACCACCTGGCATTTCAAATCTGATTTTTTTTCTTGTATTTCCCATCTGGTTTTTATTTTTGGGAAATAGGGTCTTCATATAGCAGAAACAGGATCTCATGTAGCATAGGCTGGCCCCAGACTTGTTACGTATCTGAGGATGACTTTGAATTTCTGACCTTCTGCCCTCACCTCCCAAGTGTGTATGCTGCTGTGCTGGTACATATGGTGCTGTGGATCCAACCCAAGTTTAATGCATGCAAGCACTCTCCCAGCTGAGGTATGTGTCTAGCTACCATTGATTTTCATTGTTTGTCTACATTTTTCAGGTTCGTTTAGCTTTACCTTTTGAATTGTCCATTTTATTTTTCACTGCTACCATTATATCAGTTATTTGTCCATTCAAATTTTAATTTCCTGGGCTGGCAAGATGGCTCAGTAGGTAAAGGTGCTTGCCACCAAGCCTGACAACTGAGTTCATTCACCAGAACCCACAGAGTGGAAGTAGAAATTGTCCTTTGACTGCTACACGCATGTATGACACATACACACATACACACACACGCACACATACAAAATAAGTGAAAAATTAATTTTTATAATCATATTTATATTTCTAGAAACTCTTATTGCTTCGTTTTTCCTTGGTGATCACTTGAGAAAGGTAGTAATAGCCAGGCGTGGTGGCACACACCTTTAATCCCAGCACTGGGGAGGCAGAGGCAGGCGGATCTCTGTGAATTCAAGGCCAGCCTGGTCTACATAGTGAATTCCAGGCCAGCTGGGGCTAGAGGGAGACCCTGTCTCAAAAAGACCAAAAAAAAAAAGAAGGTAATAATAATGATTACTTCTAAACGTGTTCATTGTATTTTTAGCCTCCATAAAAATTTATTTTCTTGAGTATAAAGAACAGAAACTGAAAAATTAATTTAGTAATTTAAAAATATTTTACTATTTTTATTTTATGTGTATGAGTGTATTGCCTGAATGTAGGTAAGTGCACCCATGTCATGCAATGCCCACAGAGGACAGAAGAGGCCATTGGATCCCCTGGAACTGGAGTTAATGGACAGTTGTTAGCTGCCATGTGGGTGCCGGGATTCAAACCCCGGTCTTCTGCAAGAACAACCAGAGTTCTTAACTGCCGAGCCATCTCTCCAGCCCCTAATTAGTAATTTATTTTACTATATATTTTCACATTCCAGTTAAAAATTGCATTGATAGGATTAGAATATTTTCATTAACATCATGTCATAGAAAGACTAGAAAGACCTTTTCCATCAGGTAGAATGGACACTGTCTCTGTTAGTCTTCTTTGTCAATAGCTTATTTTCAAAGCTAGCTTCCTGTTTCAAATGAGATTAGAATCTTTAAGTATGTATCAGTCAAAAAGCCTATTGTTAAGTGCATATGCTCACGAATTCCTTCAAACTACAGTCTGCTGTGGGAGCATGGGCAGGTCTTTAAGAGGCCCCTGATAGTGGGTGAGAAGAGGAATCATACTCTACCAGAGTTCCTCAGAGCAGCCAGCCTCGTAGAAAAATGTACCTAAAAGAAATCTTTTTGAAATTTTGTTCTAATAAAATGCAGTTTCATCTTCCTTAAATGATTGTATTTTGGGGCTGGAGAGATGGTTCAGCAGTTAAGAACACTGACTGTTCTTGGAGAAGACCCGGGTTCGAATCCCAGCACCCACATAGCAGCTAACACCTGTCTGTAACTCCAGTTCCAGGGGATCCAACAGCCTCTTCTGTCCTCCACCGGCATTGCACAGCAGGGTGAACTTACCTACATGCAGGCAATACATCCATACAAATTAAATAATAATAAATAAATTTTTCTTTTTTAGCTGGGCATGGTGGCACATGCCTTTAATCCCAGCACTTGGGAGGCAGAGGCAGGTGGATCTCTGTGAGTTCAAGGCCAGCCTGGTCTACATAGTGAGTTCTAGGCCAGCTAGGGCTACAGGGAGACCCTGTCTCAAAAAGACCAAAAAAAAAAAAAAAAAATTCTTTTTAAATTGTTGTGTTTTTTACCACAACAGATAAAATCTATTCTTCTGAAGTATCTCTTAACAACCCTACCATTACAGGATATGCATTATGTGCAGATGTATATGAAAAGTTCTTACTTCCAGCTTAGACAAAGATGCTAAGTAAGGGATTTGTAATATTTGGTTCAGTGCCAACAAACCCATTAAACCTGATATGCTCTAGCCAATAAATTATTTCTCTACAGTAGCAGTACAGTACAAGGGCTGATGTACAGGAACAGACGGTGGGGATTTGGTGGTGCGGTGGAGCCCCACCTAATCCTAGCTACTCAGGAAGCTAAGGCAGGACACAGATAGTCAATTCAGTAAGACTGTGTGTGTGTGTGTGTCTGTGTGTGTGAGATACAGCTGGAGCTGGGGAGATCCTCAATCCATAAAATGTTTGTTTCTCAAATGTGAGGATCTGCATTCAGATCCCCACAATGGAGTAAAAAGCTGAGTGTGGCAGTTCACACCTGTAATCTTAGTGCTGTGATGGTGGATACAGGAATCCTGGGACTCACTGGCTAACCAGCCTAACCAAATTAGGAAACTGGATTCAGTAAGGGACCTTGTTTCAGAAAAGTAAGAGTGAGAGTAATTGAGGAGGACACCTGATGCTGGCCTCTGGCCTCCATATGTACATGCACAAACACCCACACATACCTGAACACACACACACACACACACACACACACACACACACACACCTTAAAAATCTTCCCAATAATAATGAATGTGGGGGACTGGAAAGATGGCTCATGGGTTAAAAGCACTTATTGCTCCTCTTAGAGGACCCAGGTTCTTCCCAGCACCCACAGTCAAGCACTCACAACCATCTCTAACTCCAGCTCCAGGGGATATGTCAACTTCTTCTGGCCTCCGTGGATACCAGCACACATGGGGCACACAGACATGTAAATAAAAAATAAAAACCTTTGCCGGACATTGTGGTGCATGCCTTTAATCCCAGCACTCAGGAGGCAGAGGTAGGTGGATCTATGTGAGTTCAAGGCTAGCCTGGTCTACATAGTGAGTTCTAGGCCAGCTAGGGCTACAAGGAGACCCTGTCTCAAAAAGACCAAATAAATAAATAAATAAATAAATAAATAAATAAATAAATAAATGCCTTTTAAAATGAATATGCAAAGAAATTACAGTTCTCTAAAACTTCCATAGATTAAGGGATATTAGTAACTAAAGATTGGAAAACATTTTTCTAATAAAAATGAAAGTATAAGGCTGGGGATATAGCTCAGTTGGTAGAGTGCTTTCCTAGCACTGCTTAAACCAGGCATTGTGATACATGCCTGTAATCCCTGTACTCGGGAGTTAGAAACAGGAGGATCAGAAGTTGTTCACAGCCAGGCTGGGTTGTACAGCACCCTTTCTCAAGGAAAAGTAAGAAACGGGGGGGCAGGGGGGTGGGTAGCAAATGGGAGAAGGGAAAAGAAAAGAAAAAGGAATTACAGAAAACCACCTTGGGGATTTATGAAAATAGTAATCATAGTTATCTCGGAATATTAGCTCTGTGAATGACTTCTTTTTCTCTATACTTTTCAGAATTTACAATAAAAATGTACTAATTGATAGTTTCATACACACAATTTTACACTGAAAATCTCTTTTTTATTTGAGATAAGGTCTCACTATGTATTCATGGTTGGCCAAGAGCTCACTATGTAGACCAGTGTGACCTTGAACTTAAAAGTATACACCACCACACCCAGCACATTGAAACATTTTTAAGTGGTAAAACAACAACAAAATTATAGACCAAGTTTATGGGGTTATTTTTAATTTTAAAAAATTTCTTAGATGTGTCATGTAGCTCACTCAGGCTGGCCTCAAACTTGCTATGTAGGCAGGATGGTCTTTGACTTCCTGATCTTTCTGCCTCTACCTCTCAAGTGATATGATTTCAAGTGTGTGCCACCACAGCCCCAAGTTTATATTTAATGTTTTTCCTCATACATAAAATGTTCAAATGTAATTTGACTATACCTCCATTCTTTGTATTTTTCATTCTTTTGTAAAAATATATTATTTGTGTGTGAGAGCACATACATGCCAGTGCACATATACAGAGGTCAGATGCCAACTTTGTGGAGTCTTCATTCCTTCCACCTTTATGTAGAGTCCACGGATTGAATTCAGGTTACTAGGCTTTCCTGGCAAGTGCTATTGCCCACTGAGCCTTCTTGCTGGCCATATGTTTCATTCTTTTCCATTTGTTCGTTTCTTAAATACTGACTTGTTCCTTCCCCTGCTAAATCACTTGTCTGTTCCTCTTTCATCCTTTGCAGACAAGAAGTTGTACATTCTTAGTTTTCTTCCTTTAATTTTTTTTGGCAGTACTGCAAATTGAACTCCAGGCCTTGTGTGTGCTAGGCAGGTGCTCTACCAGTGACCTCTATACCCAGCCCTGCCTAACTTCTTTTAATCAATGGTTTCATCTTAATCTTTGTCACATAAATGTTAGAAACATTTCTTTTTTTCATATTTTATTTATTATTTTTATTTTATGTGTATGCATGTACTGCCTGCATATAGGTAAGTGCACCCGTGTTGTGTAATGCCCGCGGAGGACAGAAGAGGCTGTCAGATCCCCTGGAACTGGAGTTGCTGAGCCATCTCTCCAGTACAGGAACATTTCTTTGATTCATTTTTTTACTCTAGTTTTCTCTTTCTCTTACTCATTGAATTCAGTCTCCTGAAATGTAGTACTATCCCAGAAACTACCAGGTTTTGGGTTTTTTTTAGTTATATTTTTTCATTTTCTCTTCTTGACAAATCTGTAGACTTTTGCCTGTACTCTAAAATTCAACGTTTTCCTTATTTTTTGTCTTACTTACATAACAGATTTAAAAATTCCTTAGCCAGGGCCAGTGAGATGGTTCAGAGAGTAAAGGTACTTGCTATCAAGACTGATGACCTGAGTTTGATCCCCAGGACCCACATGGTGAAAGGAGAGAATTGACTACCAAAGTTGATCTCTTACCCTGACTTCCACATTCCACATGTGTGTGCACTGTGGTACCTACAACCTCCCCAAATAAATAAAACTTATCCAAAACCAGGCATGGTGGCTCATACTTAAAATTCTATAACTTGGGAGGCTAGCCTGAACTACCTAGTGAGTTCTTAGCCAGCCTGGACCTGAAATAAGATTTGTCTCCAAAAAGAAAAGAAGAGAAATGAGCTGAGGAAAGTCGGTAACTGTTCCTGCTGTGCAAGCCTGGGGACCTGAGTTAAGATCCTTAGAACCCAAATAAAAAGCCAAGCTTAGAGCCACATTCCTGCATCAGCAACACTGAGGGAGTGGAGAAGGGAAATCCCTGGAATTCACCGGCCAGCCAGCTTACCCTAATCAGTGAATTTCAGGTTCAGTGAGAGAGCCTTTCTCAAGAAAAAAAGGTTCATCTTGATCTAGGAGAATACTTTGCACATAAGAGTTAAAGTTCAGCTGGGGTAACATAGTAAACCCCTAGCGCAAAGTGAAAAAAGAAAGAAAAGGGAGAGGGAGCTGGAAGGGAAGGAAAAGAAATAGAAGGTTATATTATGAGACAAGGTAAAAACCTCACTACCTATCCTATCTTGGCATTTTTGTTTTAGCTTGGAGTTTTTCTGTTTGGAGAGATCAGTAAAGTTGCTTGTTTTAAACACTAGTTCTAGCCCTCTGAGCTGATTTCATGGTCCATTCATGTGCCCTGACTTGTATTTTCCTTCTTTTGGGGAACAGAAAGGCTTAAAAGTTCTTTTTCTCCTATCATCCCCCACACCCCAACCCCTTGTCTTTTTTTTTTTTTTTTTTTTGGTCTTTCTGAGACAGGGTCTCCCTGTCAGGCTGGCCTTGACTTCACAGAGATCGACTGCCTCTGCCTCCTGAATGCTGGGATAAAAGGTGTGCACCACTATGCCTGGCCTAATTTTCTAAGTATATTTAAAATTGTTATGTATATGATGTGTATATGGGTGCATGTGTTCCTTGGCACATGTGGCAGCGGGGCAGGGGGGACACAACGTTGTAGAGTTATTTTCTCCTTCCATCTTTACATGGGTTCTGGAGATCAACCTTAGGTCAAGAGGCTTGCATAGCAAGCACCCTTTGCTGAGCTATGTTGCTGACTCTCAAAACTTATTTTTGAAGTATAGTTAGTGGCTATTGACAACAGGGGTATATGAATCAACAACAGTGTAATAATCTGTGACCTTGACAAAATATCTGCAATTTATTACAGTTGCTTCATCTTTAGAGTAATTCTTCAAGAAGTGACGTTAAGCTTACCTATTTTCTTGTTCCTTAGCTTTTGAGAATCCCTTATCCTTAAAGTCTAAAATATTTTATTATAATTTTGTAAAATATTGATTTAGAAAACATGGTTTTTCTTTTACATCATATTTTAAACTAAATGGCTAAAAATAATACATTTTTTTAAAAAGGCATGTACTTTGTTTGGCATGTATTTTGTGTTACAGGCAGTGAGATCACTCAAGGAGACAATCGAAGACTGTTGGGACCAGGATGCAGAGGCTCGGCTTACTGCACAGTGTGCTGAGGAGAGGATGGCTGAACTTATGATGATATGGGAAAGAAACAAATCTGTGAGCCCAACCGTCAACCCAATGTCTACTGCTATGCAGAATGAGCGGTAAGATCCTGAGGGGTTTGCTATCTATCAGATAGTGTTGGAAACTGAGACCAAATAAAGAGTAGAAAATAAATACTGTTAAACCAGTCTAACAGTGTGATAACTCATATGATGTAAAGTTATACTATTTCTTTCAATATTCCCATTCTTTTTTTTAAAAAAAACTTGTTTTTATTATTTTTAATTACTTGTGTATGTCTGTATGGGACTATGTGCACATGAGTGCAGGTGCCCATGGATGCCAGAGTCATGAAATCCCCCTGGAACTGGAATTATAGGTGGTTGTGAGTCATCCAATCTGGGTGATGGGACCCTAACTCAGGCTCTCTGTAAGAGCAGTACACCCTCTTAACCCCTGAACTATGTCTCCAGCCCCTCATTATTCCCATTCCTATAGTGAGAATATTTATTTGATATGAGTACAGGTGGAATGTGTATTTTTTTTTTTCCTATCTAAAAATACAGTAAAAGAAATTAGTCTTGTCAAGTGTTGTGGAACATACTTTTAATCCCAGAACTCAGGAGGCAAAGGCAAGTGGATCTATGTGAGTTCAGGGCCAGCCTGATCTACATAGTGAGTTCCAGGCCAGCCAGATCTACATAGTGAGACCCTGTCTCGAAAAAAAGCAGGATAAAGACTCAAAATAATTGTCTTTATTAGAACTTATCTGCAGTGTTAAAGATAAAATAATTTCATAGTTACAAAAAGTTTATCCATACTTCTGCTTCTACATATATTATCTGATGTAGCTTTTGTTGCTATTAGTACCTCTCCCCTGCTTTTTTTTTTTTAAGTAAATAGAAGAGGGCTTTGAATCCCTAGAACTGGACTTAGCCGGACACCAATTGGATACTAGGAACCACAGCCAGTCTTCCTTATACTTTTTTTTTGGTCTTTCTCCCTATAGCCCCAGTTGGCCTAGAAAGAACTTGCTTTGTAGACTGTACTGGATCTATCTGCCTCTGCCTCTCAAGTACTGGGATTAACCCCAATGCTTTCTTAAAGAATATACTACTTAAACTTTTACTTAACACAACTCAAGAGGTCTTTCTGTTCCACCGTGAATATTGTTTTATGAGACATTTTCTTTGTTTTTATATATATATTTTTTTTTGAATATTTTATTATTTTTATTTTTTTATGTGTATGTGTATATTGCCTGCATGTAAGTAAGTGCACCCATGTTGTGCAATGCCCGCAGAGGACAGAAGAGGCTGTCAGATCCCCTGGAACTGGAGTTATGGACAGTTGTTAGCTGCCAAGTGGGTGCTCGGATTTGAACCCAGGTCGTCTGCGAGAACAAGCAGTGTTCTTAACCTCTGAGCCATCTCTTCAGCCCTTTTATATATTTTTAATTGAATTTTTTGTAAACATCTCAAACAGTCTTAATCATCTTTATACCCCTGTCCCCACTAGCACCCTCCCATAGGCGCCCCCACAACCCCCCCACTGGAACCCATATACTTTTGTCATCTCTGTTAAGGCCCACTGGGTTGTCAGTGTGAACATTTTCTTTATTAAAACTATGATTTTGGATTCTAAATAAATAGGCTTTTTAGAGAAATTAAGCCAGGCTAAGTGTGGTGGTTCACACCTTTAATCCCAGCACTTGGGAGGCAGATGCAGGCGATCTCTGTGAGTTCAAGGCCAACCTGGTCTACAGAAGGAGTTCCAGGCCAGCTTGGGCTACAGGGAAGACCCTGTCTCAAAAAGACCAAAAAAATTAAAAAGAGGGACTGGAGAGACGGCTCAGTGGTTAAGAACACTGACTGTTCTTGCAGAAGACCCAGGTTCGAATCCCAGCACCCACATGGCAGCTAACAACTGTAGGCATGGTACCTCACACCTGTAATCTCAGCACTTTGGAGACTAAGGCGGGAGGATTGCCAAGTTCAAGGCCAGCCTGGACTACGTAAGTTCCAGGCTAGCCTACTGTAGAATGAGACCCTGTCTCAAAAACTGAAAAAAACAAAACCATCTCTAAGTAGATTGCCCATGTGTCTTTGTTCCATGTTTGTGGATAGTAACAGATTTATTATTTTATTTAATTCATGTTAGGATTTTTCAGAAAAACACCCAGGAAAGTATTACCAGGAGACATGAGTATAAAATATACTTCATTCTTAAATCATTTTCTTTGTTATTTTCTATTGTTCTCTTCCTAAGAACAATTCATATTATAAACTGTTTACACTATTTATAAATAGATTGAATTTGCTCCATCTGTATACCTTATACATTAAAAAAAATCTAGGGGGTTGGAGAGATGACTCAGCAGTTAAAAGCACTGACTGCTCTTCCAGAATACCCAGGTTGATGTCCCAGTGCCCACATGGCAGCTAACAACCATCTGTAGCTCCAGTTCCAGAGGATCTGACACCCTCTTCTGACCTCCCAGGGCATTGCACAACACAAGTGCACTTACATACATGCAAGCAATACACACATACACATAATATAAAAAATAAAATATTTTTTTAAAAGTCAAACTGGAAGGTGAAGAGGCTGGAACCTATAAATTTGCTCACTTTATAAGTATTAGAAAAGTCTTTTGCTTCCATCTCTCTTCATTCTGTATTTCTAATGCCCTATAAGTAAAATATGGAATTTGTACATCTGTCAGCAGTCAGCTAAAGCTTCTTCTTTGAACACTTTTGAATCTTTTGTGCAGGATGAGAAGCCCTTGGCTCTTTCCTTGACTTTGGCTCGTCCCCTTCCTGTGCTGTTCACTTCTACTTGCAAAGCTGCTTCCTATTACATCTCCACTAGTAGCTTCTCCTACGTGATAGCTCATTCCATAGTCGTTTTCATGCTAGGTTTTGGTTTATTGAGCCTTACCCTCTGGGCCTCCTCAGCTCCTTCCTCATGGAACAACAGCCTTTTCTTTGTCTCCCTGTCATTCCCCTTATAACATCATCAGTCTTTTTTTATAGAACTTTTTTCTTGAGCTGTTGATTCTCTTCCGTAGCGTTTTTATCTGTTCATGCTACCAGTTCCTTGATCATTTCAGTGAAAGCTGTCCTAGATATTTACTATAATGAGATTTTTAAAAAATATTTTATTTATTATTTTTATTTTATGTATATATAGGTGTGTTGCCTACATGTAGGTAAGTGCACCCATGTTGTGCAATGCCTGCAGAGGACAGAAGAGGCTGTTGGATCCCCTGGAACTGGAGTTTCAGACAGTTGTTAGCTGCCATGTGGGTGCTGGGATTCGAACCTGGGTCTTCTGCAAGAACAACCAGTGTTCTTAACCACTGAGCCATCTCTCCAGCCCCCTATAATGAGATTTTAGATAATTACAAACATATTATAGTGTGTTAGTCAAGAGCCATCACTTCAAGGAATGATGATGACAGTAAAGCACCTGGATAACTGGAGAGCAGTCCTGAATCTTTGTTCCTTTTCCTGTGTGTCAGATTCTGCATCATATAGCTTATTTTGATATATGCTACCCCAGAAAGATAATGTTCCATTGCTAGACCATGCCTCTTAAATGGGGATGTTTTCGAACAATGCAAAAATGTTAGGTTTTTTTTATCACTTAGCCATTTCAACCTAGTTTATAACATTTATTGAGCAGACATTATGGATCTAGGGTTACGGGAGTACAAAATAAACATATGCTATGGTTCCTCCATTTATAAAATAATATCTAATGTACAAGTATACAGTTCATAAAGAGTATATTTGGTGGAGAGATGTTAGAATTAACTTTTGTCAACTAAAACAATGAGCATCCATAAAAATTGTATCTGGATCCATATAGATTTTCAGTAGACTTCATTCATATAAAATTTACATTTAGCAAGTGACTTAATACTTGATTAGACTTCTGTCTGTTTTTCTTTTTGTTTTTTTGAGACAGGGTCTTCCTATAGCCCAGCTGACCTGGAATTCGATATATAGACCAGGCTGGCTCCATCTCACAGAGATCTACCTGCCTCTTTCTCCTGAGTGCTGGAATTAAAGGCATGTGCCACCACACTCAGCTTTATTAAACTTTTAAGTAACCTCTAAAATAATGTGGGTTAAGAGTGAAATAGGGCTAGTGAGATGGCTCAACAGGTTAAGCACTTGCTGCCAAACCAACTTGAGTTTGATCCCACAAGGTGGAAGGAGAGAACTGACTCCCACAAATTGTCCTCTGACCTCCACAGGCTTGCCACACCCCCCACAACACACCGTAAATAAATAAATGCAATAAAAAATTTAATGGTAAGGTAAGTAGCTCAAACTTTGTAATCAGTGGTGTGATACATGAAAGAGACAATTGTCATAAATTTACATTCTCAATGACACACTTTTTTCTTTCTTCAAGCAACCTGTCACATAATCGGCGAGTGCCAAAAATTGGGCCTTATCCAGATTATTCTTCTTCCTCATACATTGAAGACTCTATCCGTCATACTGACAGCATTGTGAAGAACATTTCCTCTGAGCATTCAGTGTCCAGCACACCTTTGACTGTAGGAGAAAAGAACCGAAACTCAATTAATTATGAACGACAGCAAGCACAAGCTCGAATTCCCAGCCCTGAAACAAGTGTCACCAGCCTGTCCACTAACACAACCACCACAAACACCACTGGCCTCACTCCAAGCACTGGTATGACCACTATATCTGAAATGCCATACCCAGATGAAACAAATTTGCATGCCACAAATGTTGCACAGTCAATTGGGCCAACCCCTGTCTGCTTACAGCTGACAGAAGAAGACTTGGAGACCAACAAGCTAGACCCAAAAGAAGTTGATAAGAACCTCAAGGAAAGCTCTGATGAGAATCTTATGGAGCATTCTCTTAAGCAGTTCAGTGGGCCAGACCCACTGAGCAGTACCAGTTCTAGCTTGCTTTATCCACTCATAAAGCTTGCAGTAGAAGTGACTGGACAGCAGGACTTCACACAGGCTGCAAATGGCCAAGCATGTTTAATTCCTGATGTTCCACCCTCTCAGATCTATCCTCTCCCTAAGCAGCAGAACCTTCCTAAGAGACCTACTAGTTTGCCTTTGAACACCAAAAATTCAACAAAAGAACCCCGGCTAAAATTTGGCAACAAGCACAAATCAAACTTAAAACAAGTAGAAACTGGAGTTGCCAAGATGAACACAATCAATGCAGCAGAGCCTCATGTGGTAACGGTAACTATGAATGGTGTGGCAGGTAGAAGCCACAGTGTTAATTCCCATGCTGCCACAGCCCAGTATGTCAATGGAGCAGTACCATCTGGCCAGGCAGCCAACATAGTGGCACATAGAGCCCAAGAAATGCTGCAGAATCAATTTATTGGTGAGGACACCCGGCTGAATATTAATTCCAGTCCTGATGAGCATGAACCTTTACTGAGACGAGAGCAACAAGCTGGCCATGATGAAGGGGTTCTGGATCGGCTAGTAGACAGGAAGGAACGACCACTAGAAGGTGGTCGAACTAATTCCAATAACAACAACAGCAATCCATGTTCAGAACAAGAGGTACTTACACAGGGTGTTGTAAGCACAGTAGCAGACCCTGGGCCATCAAAGCCCAGAAGAGCACAGAGACCCAATTCTCTGGATCTTTCAGCTACAAATATCCTGGATGGCAGCAGTATACAGAGTAAGTGGAGGGATCATGCAGTCTCACCTGTGTGTCCTTTGGGACATTTAAATAATTAAATAGAATCAGATTGTGTTTCAGTTGGTGGTTATTTACCTTTATCACTTTCAGAAATAAAAGAGTTGGGCCTCAAGAGTAATTAGACTACTGTAAATGGGGCTGGAGAGATGGCTCAGCATTTAAGAGCCCTGGCTACTCTTGCAGAGGACCCTGGTTTAATCCCCAGCACCCACATGGAGGCTAACAACCATCTGCAACTCCACTTCCAAGGGAATCCAATGCCTTCACCTGACCTCTGTGGGCATTGCACAACATGGGTGCACTTAACCATACATGCAGGCAATATACCCATACACATAAAGATAATTTTTTTAATTAGACTATTGTAAAGGAAAATAAATTCTTTTGTTGATAATTAAAAAGCCAGTGGTCATGATAATTCGAAGAATTACCAACTTAATCTGTTATGTGGTGGTTTCTTTTTTTTTTTTGAGACAGGGTCTCCCTGTAGCCCCAGCTGTCCTGGAACTCACTATGTAAACCAGGCTAGCCTTGAACTCACAGAGATCCACCTGCCTCTGCCTCCCAAGTGTTGGGATTAAAGGCATGTGCCACCACGCCTGGCATGTGGTGGTTTCTTTATAATACATTTCACATACTTGCTAAGAATAGATGAGATTAAATCAATATTCACCAGTTTAAGAGCACCAAATAGTATTATATTAATGTCTGTTAAGTCTACATTTAGATTTTAATCTTAGTAAGGTTTTAAAAGTCCAGAGGAATTTCAGAGCAGTTACGATAAGGAAACTATAAAGCTGTTCTCATTTCCTTAGTGTTACCTTTTTAAAGTTTTGCGTTAGGCTGGGTGTGGTGGTGCACCCCATTGATCCCAGCACTTGGGAAGCAGAGGCAGGCAGATCTCTGTGAGATCCTAGCCAGCCTGGTCTACATAGCTAGTTCCAGGCCAGCTGGGGCTACAAGGAGACCTTGTCTCAGATAGATAGATGATTGATTGATTGATTGATTGATTGATTGATTGATTGATAGATTGATAGATTGATAGACAGATGATGATAGAAGATAGAAGATAGATAGATAGATAGATAGATAGATAGATAGATAGATAGATAGATAGATAGATAGATAGACAGACAGATAGACAGATAGATGGTAGATAGATAAATAGATATGTAGAAAATTAAAGTTATATATTGAGTTTTGTGTACTACATAGTGCTGTGGGCCCCATGGAAACAAATAAATAAGCTTGTGCTTGGTTTCTTGCCATGAAGGGGTTATAACACAAAACGGGAGGTCTCACCAGAATCTCTTTTAATAGTCATCATTACTTTAAATGGTTTCTCTTTTGAATGACAGCATTTATGGAATAAAAAAGCCATGGTGCTTGGTTATCTTAGACTACAGAATGGGATGGAAAAGAGATAGAGGTCCAACAACCAATCAATAAATATCTAGCCTCTTGGCTGGGGATGTAGCTCAGTGATAAAACACTTGCCTAGCGTGCACAAATCCCAGAGTTTGGTCTCCTGTGCTGCAAAGAAAAGAAAACAAGAAAATTCAGTCCTTTGCTTGAGCGGCTTGTATTTTAAGCTAGTTGACAAGCCCTTACTGCTTCGATATCAATAAAACATCAGAGAATTAATGGAAGAAAGGTACTTTACTGTTTCTATCATTCCTCTAAAAATATTATGTGCTAGAGGCCTTTTTAATTTTATCCACTTTGAGCATTTTTTGTTTTATTTTGTCTTTTAAGATAGGAACTCACTACATAGCTTACTATGGAACTCAGTGTGTAGCCCAAACCTGGGCTTGAATTTAATATCCTCTGCCTCAGCCTCCTGAGTACTTGGGATTACAGAAGAGCACCACCACACCTAGCCCAGCTTTCAGCATTAACTCAAATGATAGGTATATTTAACAAGTTGGAACCCCTACCAGAGCAAAAGGACTTGGTACACTTAAGAACCTTGAATTTTCTCCATTCTTGTAGTTTTTTTCTGTGTTTCTCTTGCCCGATAATATAATTCAATTTTTTAAAACTTGCTTACAGTCTCAAAAATGAGTTGTTGAATTTTTCCTAGAAAAATATTGTCGAATATCAGGCATTTCAAGAAATAGCCATTAGAATTCAACAGATATTGGTTTGACCTGTTCTTGAAATTAGTCTCTTTAATTCCCTCATCCATTTTTGTTTTTTGTTTTTGTTTTGTTTGTTTTGTTTGCAGCAGGATCTCATGTAGCCTAGGCTGGCCTCAGGTAGTCACTATGTAGTCAAGGATGATCTTAAGCTTCTGATCCTCCTGCTTCCACTTCCCAAGTAACTAGGATTATAGACATGTACCACCGTAATGGATTTATATGATACTAGGGATCAATCCCAGGGCCTTGTATATGCCACACAAGCAGTCTGTCAGTTGAGGCACATCCCCAGCCAAGCCCTCTACTTCTAAATATTTTCTTTATATGTAGCTCATTTTCTATACTTTTATTTTCAGTAGGTGAGTCAACACAAGATGGCAAATCAGGATCAGGTGAAAAGATCAAGAAACGTGTGAAAACTCCATACTCTCTTAAGCGGTGGCGCCCCTCCACCTGGGTCATCTCCACTGAACCACTGGACTGTGAGGTCAACAACAATGGCAGCGACAGGGCAGTGCATTCCAAATCTAGCACTGCTGTTTACCTTGCAGAAGGAGGCACTGCCACAACCATGGTGTCTAAAGATATGGGAATGAATTGTCTGTGAAATGTTTTCAAACTGATGGAGTGAAATTATTTTTTGCATCATTTAAACATGCAGGAGACATTAAAAACAAAACTGCTTTAACCTCCTGTCAGCATACCTTCCCACCCCTGCAACAAGGACTTGCTTTAAATAGATTTCAGCTATGCAGAAAATTTTAGCTTATGCTTCCATATTTTTTAATTTTGTTTTTTAAGTTTTGCACTTTTGTTTAGTCTCGCTAAAGTTATATTTGTCTGTTATGACCACAGAATTATATGTGTGTGTATCAAAAGTGGTCTCAAAATATTTTTTTAAGAAAAAAAGCAAAAACAATATATTGCTGATAATCAGTTTGGACCATTTTCTAAAGGTCATTAAAACAGAAGAAGCAAATTAAGACAGGTTTGACTGCAGTGGTGTCTGGTATCCATGTTTTATTTCTGGATACAAGCTAGTTTATATGTTGATATGTGCTTTAACATATTGTCAGACATTCTTCTCTCTTGTATTTTGTTTGAATGTGCAATAGTCTGTAGACACAAATAAGCTTTCTTATCAGTGCTCTTCCAAGCAGGCTCACATTCTTCCGTAACATAAACATTCTCTCCCATTCTTCTATAATATGAACATTTTTCTTGCTTTCCCCTTGTGGAGTATACATAAACACTGTCAAAAGGGCTCTTAAAAAGGAACTACCAAAACTTTTTTTGAAATGCCATTTCTTTTAACCTTCCACATCCTAAATGTTTCCTTCCAGGCATTTTAACAAGCATATTTGGTTCTGGTTTTGCAAGTTCATAAGAGAGCATAGAACAAAACACAAGAAAGCAAATATTAGACTGTTCCATTTTTTTTTCTGTATATGTTCATGTTCCATATTCATTTATTTAAGAAATACATTTTTTATCAGAAAACTTATAGAGCTAAACTTACATGGAAGTTTTAAGTAAGTAGATGGGTAAGATGATGCAGTGTTGAGTAGGCCATCTCAAATTACATTTCCTATTTATAATAACGTCAAAGTAATTCATAGTTTTAGATTTATAGTATCTTTTATTCTGTTCTCCAGCAAAGCCTAACAACCATGTGTGAAAACGATTCCTCTTCCCCTGACCTAAAACACTGTGGAAAACTCCTTCAACCAGCATGCCAGATCCCTGTGGAAGAAATGATTGCTACATACCTAACCCTTCAGTAGACTAAGAGTTAGTCTTTCTTTTCATAAATTGTTTATTTTTTCACTAATCCTATTTTCATAATTTCTTTTGCCAGTGTTCACATGATGTTTGACGTGTGAGCAGCATTTATTTATATTGTGGTAGGATGTGCCTTCTAGTGATAGCATGCCCTTGAAATCATGTTTTTAAACCTCCCTTTGCATATTTCATTACTAATAATCTCTAAAACAGCAATCTCTTTTATCTTCTAATAAAGCACTTTCTGTCAAGGGAATTTTTTCTAAACAATTTGTTCTGTCAATTTGTAAGGATTAATTGATCTTGGTTTTTGTTGTTTTTAGGTTCTCAAAATAATTACATAAGTTCTAAAATTTTTCTGGGAGATAAAAGATTAAGAGGAAAATACAAATTCCCAAATTCCTGATTTGGCTCTTACCTCCTAAACATTATTTTCTCATTTCTAACCCTTTATCTTCATCATATAACTAAAGATAGCCTAAATCCCCCAATTTACTGTCCAGAATACTTGTGGCTTATTTGTATATAGGCCTCTTGCTGTCTCCTGTGATGCCTTATGAGTTAGATGCCACAACACTTAACCATTAATTCAGCTGGATTGCTGGCTGAGAATTCCCAGTTCTTAGGGTTAAGATTGTCTTACTGGTGCCCAGGATTCCTTCTGCCTTTGTTGTTTTATTGGCCCTTCTCTTGATTCAGACCCTTAACATTTTTTTGTCTTCTGTCATACAATTTTTTTTCATGTAGTTATTATCTTTTATCTTTGTAACAAATTATTTCTATCTTTCTCAGTAAATTTTTACTTATTTCTTTTGTCCAAATGGCTTTCAGATGCATTTCAGGATACTTTTTTCCAAACAATTGTGGGACAGCTTTGAATTAGAGTACGTTATACTCCATTTCCAGTTTGAAGCAATGAGAGTAAATGACCATTTGAGATCCAGGTGATCTCTTCCTATCGGAAAAACTGTCTTGCATTCTGATACACTTTTTATTAGGGCCAGTCAATTGTAAGTTTTTCAACTTTTTTTAACAATAATAAAAAGCTTTTTAAAATTAACATACCAGATTAGAGCTGGGTGTGGTGGCATACACCTTTAATCCTAGCACTTGAGAGGCAGAGACAGGCAGATCTCTATGAGATTGAAACCAGCCTGGTCTACATAATGAGTTCCAGGCTAGCTGGGGCTGCAAGGGAGATACTGTCTCAAAAAGAAAAAAGAAAAAAAATTGTACCAGATTAAATCTGTATAGTTTCCCATTTTCTGCAGGTATATTTAAAACAAATCATTTCCTTTCTCCAGTTTTTTGATAGATTCTTGAAAAAGTAGGGAAGACAGGAAGTGTAGTTCATTTTTAATAAATTTTAAGTGGTATCCCTCATTTAAAGTCCATAATATACAGCAAGCAAAATCACTTTAACTTAAATTACTGGTTAACTTTATTAATTTGATATTATTTCTTGAAGCTGACAACAAATTTATCACAAAATTTTACTATAGAAATTAACTTAGAGCCTTTTGAATAGAAAGGTCTTTCAGTTTTAAAATACTCAAATTTATCTGTATAGTAATATCAACTTAAAAGAATCAGAATAGATAATCAAAGTCTAATAGTTCCTTTAAGAAAATCCTAATTGTGAAGCTGGAGAGATAGCTCAACAGTTAAGGAGAGCACATGCTACCCTTAAGGACCTGGGTTCTGTTCCTGGCACCCACGTCAAGTAGCTCACAGCCACCAGTAGCTCCAGCTCCAGGGGATCTGACACCTTCTTCTGGCCTCCATGAGCACTTCATATAACCCGCACAGACACACACACATACACATAATTGAAAATAAATCTTTAAAAAAGGAAAGGAAATCCTAATTTTATACCAGAACTAAGAAATTGAAAGAACTCGATTTGAATTATGTGTACAATGAAATGATTTAAATATAAATATGAAAAATTTTTAGATGCATATTTTTTTAAAAACCACTGTCATTGTAGAACATTCTGAGAAGCACATACTGAAAACTAGGTGTATGTATGCTATTTCTTTCCATCTTCAGAGCAACCATATAAACATAATTAACATTCATACTTTACAAATGAAGAAACAAAGGTTAAAAGAGGATAGTTAATTTGCCAAAGTTTCATATCTAGTAATAGAACTAGAATTTACCCTAGTCTGCCTCTCTGCATCTTTTTCATCCACATCACACAGCCTGCATTCTTCATAATAGGATGTATAATATACTGACATTTTGTAAGAAATTCAGTCATTATACTCTGGCACAATTGTGGTTTGTATATAAGCGAAACCAGATATCTTAATGATTTTAGTAGTTAGGCAAACATAATAAAGTCCATATTCATTATTGCTTAAGGAACAATTACTAATTCAAGACAAAAATCCAATCTACAAGCTGGGTGTGGTGGTACACACCTTTAGTCCCAGTACTCAGGAGGTAGAGGTAGGCGGATCTCTGTGAGTTCAAGGCCAGCCTGGTCTACATAGTGAGTTCCAGGTCAGCTGGGGCTACAGGTCAAAAAGACCACACACACACACACACACAAATCCAATCTACATCTTAAAATCATGTCACCAAACTCCTAACATTCTTATATTGCAGAACTAAAGGCAAAGCAATTAAAAAAAAAAAAAAAACTCAGAGTCTATTTATTCCAGGTAATATTCAACAGTTATGATTCTGGTCTGGTTTAATTTAAGGTACACATTTTGTTTTTTTAAGGAATGAAAATCTACAAAACATTCCATGTGTTTGGAAATATTTCACTAACAAGTGTGGGTAACTGCTTATCTACAAGAGATAAGACAAAGTAAATTGTAAAGGAAAAGTGAAGGCAGCTATAGGAATATTTTTCCCAATGTGACTCCATACTAGATTAACCTAAAATTTCACCCTTCTCAGTCCTTTAACTCCAACTTCAAAATTTCTGCTTTTAGCAATGTTAATCTGGAGAACTAATTGAGTAAGATAAAGTAAGAGGTCATTATAGCTTCATTACATGTATTTACTTGTTCCGGAAACTGTGTGCTTGGTTCTGAATGTGAAAATCGTTAGAGAGGGAGGAACACTCAAAGTAGTCTTTCAGTGGGAATTACCAGAAATATTGGCAAATATTTTTATTTAAAATATTTCTAAGTTTGACTTCTAAAGCTAAAAAGAATACATAATAGGCTGCAGCTGTTACATTGAACTAGTAATATTGTTATATTACTAGTCTCTGTAAATTAGTCATTTAAAATGGAAATTTTTTCAATAAGTGTTTATTCCTTTTTCATATTTATTGACTTGAATATTTCATTGAGGGTCATTAACTTCTAGAACTTGGTATTACATTATAATTCTATGTCACATTTTACAAATTTATGTTGAACTCACTACCAGTTATATATATGTTGTCACATAACTATTCACAGATTTTTTTTTTTAAATGCATGTTACCTTTTCTCCTAAAAAGTTAGATAAGTGTACACGTTAGTTGATTTTTCTAGAGCAGTCATTCCAGGAATTATATAATACTCACACATATACCCCAGAAGTCTCTTTTAGACAGTGATAATTTTAAACATCATATCCTTGACTGGCAGTGGGTTTTGTTTTTAGCAGATTAAAGTTGCATTTAACCTTTAGATTATAAACTATGCAAACTTTGTCAAAACTACCTTACATCGCCCCTTTGTAACTATGCTCATTGATAGTGTAAATCTAGCAAATCACTTTTGAACTAGTTACACAAAACTTATTATCAAAAGAAGTCTTTTTGGCAAGTACCCATATTAACACAACAGGAAACCCCAGTGTGCCCCAGGAGGTAGTAGACCAACCCATCACTCTTCCCACATCCCTTCATAGTTCATAGTTGACTGTCTCTTCACTGTTGGTCTTATGTTAGAAAAGTCTTCATGTCTGTTCCATATGTCTCTCATTTCATAGTCTCTCTTACGTAGTTGGAGAAAAGAGAGTTAGATGGTCATCCTCCCAGCACTCTTAATAGGCTTTGGGCTTTTCAGTCAACACCTAAATCTCAGTTGATCAGATAAAATTGTTTCAGTTCCTTTTTCTTCTCAGATCTGTTTTAATGTCTTTATTTATATTTAAGAGCACATAAAATTATATTCTTTGTTATATTCAAATTAATTACTCCAGTTAATTTATAGTTCAGTAGTTTGATAGAATTGAAAGTTAAGATGTTACCATTTGACATTGTATTTAATCACCAGACCATAAGAAAATCAGCACTTAATTTTTGTATTATCTAACATTTTCTATTAAAGTGTATTTTATGATTTTCTATCTGCGTAGTTATAACTAAAAAGCCATGTATACCTAATTTTGTATCATTTTGCCATTAAATTTATATTACAGTGAGTTTAGTGAGTTATGATTGAGCCACAACGTTTTATATTTTTCTTTGTATCAAATACTGTATTTAACACTAAATGCAAGATTTTTAGTTTCAAAAACAGACCCTACAAAAATCAGGTTTTGCCTATGAACATTTTTGTATTTTGTAGACCACTTTTGAAATGCTTGTCATTGTTATTGCAATGTAGACTGGACTAAAATGATTTTCGTTTCATTTTTAAGTGATTAAAGTTAGGTGTTTGCATAGAAAGGAAATCTTTAAAAATTTATCTCCTGGCAGGCACATTTGAAAGGAAATACTTAAGAAGATTTATATTGTATCTTAAAACTATGCCCAAAATAAATCTATTAAATCCTTTTTAAAAATTCCAATTTCATTATTACCATGATGTTTGTAGTATCTCTAATAAACATTGTGAGCATACACATTCACTTATCAAACTTAGTTTGAAACCCTCATTAAAATATGGATCAGAAAGAATCTTTAGAACTTAATTGCTTTACTAGGGTGTCCAGTTTGAATTTTTAAGAAAATTTACTGTGTTTGAAATTACAACTTGAC